TGCTTCAAAATAATAATATTAAAAAAAATTTAAAAAATAAGCTACTTGATTTAAATATACTTTTTTTTATCAAAATGTGTTTAAAAATTAGATTTACAAATGGGTACTTATTTTAAATTTTTCAAAAAAAAAATTAGGTAGGTATCTACTTATTATATACAATTTTAGATTCCGAGCGGAGTGATGAATGTATAATTGATTTTCCAATCATGTGTGTTTTTTTTAATTTTAAATTTTTAAATTGTTGTGTCTGCCGTCACTGTTTGGGGTAGTAGAACTGCTTCTATTTTCTTCAACAGTGTCTTGTTCGATCGGAAGGTGAATTAAGTTAGTGCATTCGGGAGGTCAAAATTTAAATTTTCCAATAGTTTTCAGAAGAAAACAGGAATTTTTACGCTTAATAGGTTTTTGACAAAATCAACTTTAGTTTTTTTTTATAATTCTAAAAAAATGACCTTAAATACATCAAATTTTGACTGAATGTTTATATTAGAATTTTCTATGAACCATAACATTATCAAGTTTTATTTTGAGCTGTTTTCGGACATTTTCAGTGTCGATTTTATTTTTTTTTCTATAAATATCAATAAAATTCTATTTGTTGGGTAAAAACTCTTGAACATTTAATTGAAGGCTCCTAATATATTTTTTTCAAAGGAAGATGAAAAATATGAAAAATCCTAAAATATTAAAAATCAATTCTTATTTTTTAAGCATTTAAAGTTCAAATATTGACAAAATACGCAAAAATGACGAAAATTCACAAATTATTTTTAGCTAGGAATTCATAAAAGTTTTTATTCTTAAAACTCGGATTTGAAAATGTTATACAAGATTCATCATAATTTTGTCTACTTTTGTCAAAAAAAAATTTCTACCAGAAAGTCAAATAAAACTTTTATGAGCGATTGAAGTTTAAATTTTTTCAACATTGGATATTCACTCGATTTCTCATATAGATATTAGATACCTGCGATTTCTTTATTTTTTTGTAATTCAAAAATGAATAACTGTAAATTCATGAAAATTTTACTGAAAGTTCTCCATATACACCATAACAATTTTGAAAATATTTTGACTCATTTTGAGCTGTTTACGGGCAATTTCAAATTTCAATTTGTTTAGTTTTTTTTTTATAAATATCAATAAAATTTTATTTTGTGGGCTAAACAGTGTGAAAATTTAATATAAAGCTCCTGATATATTGTTACTATAGCATTTTGAAAATATTAAAAATACAAACATAGGCACAATTTTTTTTTATAAGTATTTAAAGTTCGAATTTATCAAAATGTATCAAAATCTCGAAAATTATCAATCATTGTATTTTTAAAAAATTATAAAATGTACAGTTTTCAATTTTTTATAACCATGGATTGTAAATGTAAAACAAAGATTCTCATAAATATAGTTCATACTGTAACCAAAAAATCTATAAAATATAGTTGAAGAATATAGTTTTTTTACTGACATTTTTAATTCAAATTTGGACGAAATGACATATTAAAACCAAGAATATTTCGATTTTAGTTATTTTGTTGCAATTTAAAAATATTATTTGTTGGTATATGAAACTTTTAGAGTATATTGTTATATTTTATAAACACGCAAAGACATTTTCAAATGTAATTTTTTCTTTAACAATGAATTTAACCTACTATAGTAAATACTAGGTATAGTTCCTAATACTGAAATTAAATACCTAAGTACTTTATTCACAATAGTATCATCAAATACTGTATATTAACCGTATTTTCCGTATACAATGATATTATATCATTAAATTCAAATTTAATACCATTCACTACAGTGACCCCCTTGTAACCTACTGTACAGTAGAGTGACATCCACTTGCCCACCTTTTTATTGGTGTTATAAATATTATACTGTACTTTAAAAAGTCTATAAATTATTTCAAATAAATATTTAAATGATTAGAACAAGAGTTACCTATTCAATTTGTCAAGTGTTTCTGTTATACATCGTGTATAAGTTCATAAATCATAAGTGCAATTAGAGTAAAAAAAATTGCCCTAAAACACCAAGGGCCGCTAATAAACTTGGAATATTGGGCCGGAGCAGTCCCAGTCCGCCCCTGTCGTTGCCCTTTTCAGATTTTATTATCTCTAATTGATTATCCATGCCTATCAATATAAATTATAACACTGTAAAAAATTCGTACACACGCGCTGCGTTTTAACCAGACAGTTCTGACTAGACTATAGTATACTTTACCATCGCCATACTGACAACACCAACCAACAACTATATTATGGATAATTTATCAAAATAATCTCGTCATTACGAGATTATCGTTATAATGTTAGGTCGCATAACAAATATTAATCAAATCATATAGACTCGGATGCTCGGTAAATTATGCTGAACGCTGGTTGACATATAGAAGTATAGAACACATGTAATTTAATGTATATTGTTATCTTTATCGACTTTATCAAAAGACCCGACTTATCTTATTTTCAATTAGTTTGAACTTGAAATGTCGTAGTAAATATGGAAAAGTTCAGGTCCCTAAATAATATGATCAATATGATAATATGTATCAATCTCATGTTACAAGAATAAACGTGCGGAATCGCATTCGTTACATGGCAACGTCGCATTCGAATACAATACGGATTTGGGTAGAAAAAAAAGGTAATATAGAACAATGAACGTGCGGAATCGTGTTCTACCCGGGAATTCCTACGAAAAAATAAACACCAAGGGCCGCTAATAAACTTGGAATATTGGGCCGGAGCAGTCCCAGTCCGCCCCTGGTTGGTGCTGTGCATTTTATAACTTTTTTTTAACATCTTCAAATTTACTATTAAATGTTTGATAAAAGAAATAATATCATTTAAAATTATTTTTACTGTTAATAATGACAACTTGTGTAAAATCATAAAATTTTATATTCTAGGACAAAGTTACAGGATGGCTAAAAAAATAGCTTTTTACATACATCAGACCTATTTTGAAGTTAATCGATCATCTGAAAATGTAAGTCATATGCATAATATAGTTTTTTTTATATAGTTAGTATTATTATATTTCTTCTATGGACACAATAGATTAAATTAAATTGAAATAATAACAGTATTTAGTTTATATTGTGAATTTTATAATTTTTTTGTTCATATTCAAAGGTATTAATGTTTAATGTTTGATAAAATAAAAATATCATTTAAAATTATTTTTCATTGATAATATTGACAATTTAATATTCTAGGACAAAGTTACAGCGTGGCCAGATAATTCATTACTTACACCAGACATTTTTGAAGTGGACCAATCTTCTAAAAATGTAAGTATATACTTGTACCTATATGTATAATAAAATATACAGAATGTTATTAAGTAGTATTAAATTATAATTTCTTAAAACAATTGAAAATAAATAATTTCATGTTATTTTTTCAACTTACATACCGGGTAAGTTAGTAAGTGGGTTTTCTAAAACCGTTTTCAGAATATGAAAACTATAAAAATTGTGTGCACAATCTTAAAATAATCGTTAAAACCGTTCCTATTCACCCCATTTTACGGTAATTCAAATTCAACTAAATTAATGAAAAATTATTATAAAAGTTACAAGTAGATATTTTTATTATGAATCATATAAAATTGTATAACTAAATTAAGTCAACAGTAGTTTTCCATACTGTTTTTATAACATACAATATATCTTTTGTCATGAACCATTAGTTTATAACATGCATATTATAAGTTTATTTATTTAAGTTGTTTCAATAACATAAACATTATTGGTTTGATCAGTTCAATAGGTTCCATAAGAATAACATTTTATACTATTATGTTTGTACAATTAATTAATAGGTTATTTTGTTAATTTTTAGGTAATTTTATCCAAGGAAATATTGGATACTATGAGTTTTGAATACATTTCTGGTAATGTTTCTGATGAAAATGTTGATGAGAATATAAACCAAACAATAATAAATGCTACAACTGTAACGTATGTAACTACTGATCATATTTTAAATGATAATACACTCCAAAGAGTACATATTTTATAACAAGACTGTTATTTTAATCTTAAATTTTTATTTGCATATTGTTACTAGTTATAATATTTATTATAATATTAGTTAAAATAAAATAAAATAATGTACATTGGTTCATTTTTATAAAAATGTAAGTTTTTTCAGAAATAATACATTTTGAGTAGAATTTATAAAGTCCATGTCAAGTAAATTATTTCCAACTATATTACAAAAAGTACTATTTCCGGAAATAAAACGTTTTGCACTAACCACTTAAGGAAAAACACAAAAAAAAAAAGGTTAAATACAAATTAAAAATGATTTGGAGTTCAAAAAATGAATTTATTTTATATTTTTACATATTTTAGAATTAGTTTAACATTTAAAATGTTTGATTTGATGGTTCAACTAAAAAAACATCATTCCTGAAAATGTAGGTCTTAGGAAATAAAACGTTTTGAAAAGTTACCCTTCTTACTACATTCAAATTCCTGTTTTAAATTGGAGTAGGTAGCTAAATACAAACTATTATTAATTGCGGTTATAAGTTTCGGTAGTTATTACACAGTCATAGTGATTGTAAATATTAAACTAGTACAAATCACAATGTCTATGTTTAATATTTATTGTTTGTGTTAGCGATCTGTTTATTGACTGTTGTCAACTTTATTACTTGTTATTTTGCAAGTGCTTTAACAATTACAAATGAGACAGTTATTATGCTTATGCATTGTACGTTACATTAATTACATAGATTTAAGTACATGGTTAACGATAAAAATGAGTGAATAATATATGAATGAGCTATAAAATATTATTTTTCATATCCCTATAAATATAGATATAGATAATATTTTTTAATACTATTTCAAAATTGGGCAAATGTTAAAGGTAGGTTCTCTATTTGTAAACTTAATTTTTTTTAACTTTTTGCACACCATTTTCACTCCCCTCGTCTCCTTATACATCAATTATAACTTCTACTGACTAGAATTAATAAATATTGATATATTTACCTAAGAATATCCATAAATTAGGGTGTGTCACAGAGAATTTCAACCTTAATTGGTTATGGAAGCTCTCAAGATTGTTATTTGTTCTCCTTGGAAGGCCATACACTGACATGATCTGAGCACCTACACGGCGCAACCAATACCTAGATAGATAAAATAATAACAAATAAATTCTTATATGATTAAGATAAATAAAAAATAAATTGTTGACTAATTGTAGACCTTAACCAAATATATTTGCTTAATAACATTACCTTTCATAATAGTTGAATAAATCATCCATTGGTACACCGTGGTTAATCGCAAACATTTTTATCAATCTAAAACCTCTCTCGATATCTTGAGCTGGCAGTAATGGTAATCCAAATAAAAGTTTTAGACTTTTTAATGCGTTTTCATTAGTTTTTATAAGCCTATAATATCCCCTACTCTTCATATTTTTCAAAACAGCCTGCATGGACAAAAAAAATTATGCATTTAATAAAAAATTTGGTCTTATTATATAATAATTATAATAAAAACTTCTATTGTATTATAACCAACCTGATTATGGTGAAACCAACAACCTGAGGTTCGTGCTCCTGGAAAATATGATTGGAGCACATCCCTCAATGCTGTTTCATAGTCGGTAACAATTATAGCGGGTGATATTCTTGGTAAAAGATTATTTCTAATGTAACTGAAAACGGTGTCATAAGAGTTTCTGGTTTTCGCTTCCATCAATACAAATATTATTGGTAAAGACTGTAAATAATGTATTTACATTTAAAAAATTTGCTGTATTTTATTTTAAGAAAAAAAAATTACATAATTTTGTATCATAACATGAATAGATAACATTTGGTAACCCATTCTAGCCGGAACGACCTTAAATGTACCATCTACATGGAGTTCTTCTATATTTGTATTAATAATATTTTGTGTTAATATCTTAATGCGAATATCATGTTATTTTTCCCATCTATATCTTGCACACAACTTCTGAATATCGATACATCACAGCAGTTATATCTTGGTAACTGTCCATTTTCAAAAACGATTGCCAGTTGCAGCAAATTGTCTGGTAAAGGAGGCATTAATGATCTACGAGCTAAGCGCATTAGCGATTCAGCAGTAGACCATGGGTACAAGTTTGCTTCCAACGGATGTCTAAAAGATATATAATTATTATCAATATAATAAATAATTGTAGTTTTGTGTTCCAAAAAACATAATATATTTAATTTACCTTCGGCACCCTTCATCGTAAATTAACTTCAATTGTACACTGTCTGAAGCCGCTCTTCTTTTTAAAATATTTTTAAGATCATCTACTAACTGCATATCATTGTTTTCACGCTCATGATTGCAATGCGGTTGCATAACAATTAATGATCCATCTGGCATCTTTTTCATCGTACCCGTGCAAAAATGTAGGGTACGTTTACTACATTTGTAATAACTAATCAATAAAAACAGATTCATTAATTTCCAGACCATTTGTTGTCTTTTATTTATTGAATTTTTTTCAATTAAATTTTTTATTTCAATACTTATTACTAAAGACCGGATTTTGCATAAAATGTATTTTGCTATTTTCTACATCATAAACATGCAGTCAAGGATTGTTCATAAATCATTACTTGATTGATAAATATAAAAATTGTATACTGCATATTTATGTATATTCTGATTTTATGGCATGGTCTGCATATTTTTGAATATTTTAACAAAAAAGCTTATAAATACACTTATACCACCTAACAATCCAAATAGGGGTTGAGAAAAAAAAAAGATTATTGACACGTTTATATATCAAATATTTTATGTTTTAGAAAATTGAATTTATTATAGACACTTACCTACTAGAGTTTTACCTATTTACTTGGTATGAATGATTAAAAATTAAATTAAAATTTTACAAATTACATTTCTTTTCTACATATTATCTGTGCTATTTTTTGTTTATATATTTATTTTAATATAATTAATAAATTTGCAGGTAATTAACACTCCAAGATTAAAATAATGTATAAAACTGAATATAAATTTTAATTTGCATATTTTGTAATTTTTTCTTGCATAGGTATTTAGATTTTGTTGTGCATGTTTGCAAGCATATTTTACAATTCAAAATGCATATAAATTTATTACTATTTGGGATTAATATAAGAATTCAATGATAATTTAATTCATACATTTTCCTTTTTAATACCTAGGTACCTATCTAAATATCTGATTAATAAATTGTAATTACATATTGTTAAAATAATTTTTCACTAAATAAAATGTAAGTAAATATAGACATAACATTGATAACTTATAAATTGTAAGTAATAATTAATAATTTGCCGTTTGGCGTTTATATATTATAAATAAATAAATAAATAAATAAATATAATAATATAATTTTTAAATACTTACGTGACTCCATTTTTTTTCACATTATTATCGTATCTGTATTCATCGTGTTCCATAATCGAAGACGGTAATATTTAAATAAATATTATAATATATTAACAATTATAATATTATAATATAATGTTAAAGTGTTAATAAAAATATTAAGACACAAGACTACACGTGCATTGAAATCTCGATAGAGAATGACAACAATAATTAAAAATATATTATTATAAATTTATAATTCTATAATTCGTTCATACTTATTGAAAGCGAGTCTAAAATAAAAATAGAAAAATATTTGAAAATATCATACAGAGTGATTCAAAATTTATGTTACAGACATTTTATGATCTTAATATTAAAAATAGAGAAAAATGTTTAATACGAACGTTTTTTGATTTTAGAATCATCTATAAGTACAATTTGATTGAAACAACATTTGATTGATATGAAATTATACATTTTTCCTCATTTTGAATACTAATGTGATAAAATGTCTGTATCATAAATTTTGAATCACCCTGTATATATTATATGGTATATACCTTCTATGGGTTTTATTCAATTGTTTCAAAACAAAAAAAAAAAAATAGAAGGGAAAAATAAATGCCGTATAATTAGGTATTATTACATAATATGATATTATAAAATTAAAAATATCATTATAATCCAAAATTGTACCTACATAATATTATTATATATAGTAAAAATACGAATCCCTATTTGCCATTCTCATAAATCTCTACATAGGTAGGTACCTACTACCTACGAATATCTTACGTGATACCTTTGAATTTTGATACGTATGAGGTTACCTAAAAATGTATGGTACAAGAAGAAACGTGTCACCATTACATAAGTATTTATTTAAGAGTCTAAGGCCGGGGCTATACACAGTGTACAGCCCCGGCCTAAAACTTTAATAGTTGCAGAACGAAAATCATTACTTTAAAGCTTAAATAATTATAATATTTCATTTCATTTCATTTTTGTGTAGCATTGCATAAATACATTTTAATTTTGTGTTTAAGTAGGTATATTTTTTTGGGCTGTCTGTCGTAAATCCAAATACAAAACAAAAAAAACTTACTTAAAAGGCTAAAATTCAATTGAATCGTGTGATTATATATGAGTAGAAGCCAGAAGGGTCTATACGAATTTCAAATATTTTTTCAATGTTTATGATGACGCTAAATTCGAAAAAAAAAGTTGTCAAAGAATTAAGTATTGCAAGAAAATTGTAAAAATGCAAACAATTATCGATTATAGGTAAAAAGAAGTAATCGCTTGCTGTATAATAGGTGTCAATTGGTCACTGACCATTATTTTAGATTCTGAGCGGAGCGATGAATGTATTGGTTTTACAATGATGTATGTTTTTTTTATATTTTTATTTATATTTTTGTGTCTGTCATCACGTTTTAGGACAGTAAAAATGCTTGGATTTTCTTCATCAGTAGCTTTTCTGGTAGGAAAGTGAATCTAGTTGGTACTTTGGGGGGTCAAAAGTATAAATTTCACAGTAGTTTTCACAAGCGCCGGGAAAAACAACATAAAAATTAAGGAAAAAACGGGAATTTTTACGCAAAATTGGTTTTCCAAAAAATCGATTTTGGTTATTGGTGTAACTCTAAAACAAATGAACGTATATACATGAAATTTTCACTGGTTGTTTATATTTGCATTTTCTATACACGATAACATTTTCAAAATATTTTGATTTATTTTGAACTGTTTAGGGACATTTTCATTTTCCATTTTTTTTTTTAGTTTTTTTTTCTAAAAATATCAATAAAATTTTATTTATTGGTTGCGAAAGCTTGAAAATTTAATAGAAGGCTCCTAATATGTTGTTTCAAAGGCAGATGAAAAATATTAAAAATCCTTAGTCACAATTTTTTTTATAAGCATTTAAAGTTCAAAAATTGACAAAATATGGAAAAATCACGAAAATTAGCAAATTATTTTGAGTTAAGAATTCGTAAAAATTTTTCTTTTTAAATCTAAGATTTGAAAATGAAACACAAGATTCCTTATAAGATTATCTACCTTTATCAATAAAAAAATCTCTACCGGACAGTCAAATTAAATTTTTATGAGCGTTTGAAATTCAAATTTTTACAACATTGGATTTTCACTCGATTACTCATGTAGCGATTTCCTTATTTTGTTGCAATTCAAAAACGAACAACTGTAGATACATGAAAATTTCACTGAATGTTTAAATTAGCATTTCCTATACACCATTCAATTTTGAAAATATTTTGACTCTTTTTGAGCTGTTTATGGACATTTACAGCTTTCAATTTTTTTAGTTTTTTTTCTATAAATATCAATAAAGTTTTATCTGTTGGGCCAAAAAGTGTAAAAATGTAATACAAGGCTCCTGATATATTGTTACAATAGCAGTTGACAAATATTAAAAATACATAGGCACAGTTTTTTTATAAGCATTTAAAGTTGGAATTTTGACAAAATTTATCAAAATCTCGAAAATTATCAATCGTTGGAATTAAAAAATTATAAAATGTTCAGTTTTTATAACTAAGAGTTGAAAATTTAAAACAAAGGTTCTCTTAAATAATTCATACTGTAACCAAAAAATCTAAAAAATATATAAACACACTTATTTTTACAGACATTTTAATTTCAAATTTAGACAAAATTTCATATTTAAACCAAGAATTACGATTTTAGTTATTTTGTTGTGATTGAATAATATTATTCGTGGGTACTTGAAACTTCTAAAGTGTACTATTATATATCTATCATAGTATCACGGTTTTTGTTGATGTATAACGCGTTATAAGTATCTAATGGATATTGTGATATGATTAATTTGGAATTTATTATAGGTACCTATTATAGGTCAATTTTTTGTTTAATACCATAGATATGTATATAATATGCCTTATACATAGACTGACATACCATCACCGCTCAGAATCGTTTTTCTTATACAATGATATTATATCATTGAATTCAAATTTAATACCATCCATTATACAGTGACCCACTTGTAACCTACTGTACAGCAGAGCGACACCCACTTGCCCACCTTTTTTTATTGTATTTATATCCATGCCCTATTTATAACTTAATTTGACTTTATTAAACCAATCGATTAATATATCCACTTCTAGCCAGCCAGTATTCACTTAATATTACCTAATACCTAATATTAAATTGTACACAATAAAAAATATAATATAATTATACCTACATAATAATAAAATATAAAAAATAATTTGTGATAATTTGATAGGTACTCATAAGATGATATCTAAAAGGTACAGTTTCGTACGTTCAATGGAACACTCTTAATTCAAAAAAGTGAATTTTTGAACTTTTTTTATTTTATTTTAGTGTGTTGTTTGATGGTTTTGTAATATTTACTTATCTATTTGTTGTTTAAAATGGAAACTAAAAGAAAGGGTAGGGTTGAGAAAATCAGAGAGAGAGAGAGAGAGAGAGAGAAAGGATAACTCTTAGAAATATCAAGTTAAAACTTAAAGTAGTAAGAACGTATATTTTTCATCCACAGAAAGTGATACATTATACTATGCAGTACATGTAATTAAGATAAAATACTAAACACATTGAGAATCTTAAGTTGTCTCCTGAGAAAATTGAAGATGAGTAGAGGATGCAACCCTCATTTGTTAAAACTTTGGTACCATATTTAATTCTTACATTTAGTGATGACGAAATGGTGAGGGCTGGTCAAAATATAGATTTCCCGGGCTGAATAGTTGTCCCAGTCCGTCCCTGAATTGCGTGACCCTACAATTTAAATTAACTGTTTGGCGACCAAAAAAAAAAAAAATCATAATTGTAAACTCTTACATAATAAATCTATATAGATAAATATGATACTATAGTTAAATGTATTGATTTATCTATCTATAATCTATATTCTATTCTGAAATACTTAAATACTCTATAACTCGATCATGTTATCATTTTATTATTTGAATATTTCAGGAATTTTTTTTGAAAATAATAATATTTATAATATGTAAATTTATTGTAAGACGTATGTAATGATTTCGCGATCCACCATAAAAACCTTTATTGGGAATCACTGATTTAGAGGGTGGTAAATTTATATTGCCATATTATTATTGTGTATTAATTGTATTAAATATAAATGTATTATATTATGTATTATGTTTTAATTATTATTATAACCTTTTGTTAAAAGCAATTATTACAGATCAAAAATGTAGATATATTGTTTTCATCCATTAGTCAGTAAATAATATTAATAATTACAAAAATATTTAATGTCGATAATTGAAAATGATAACTATTATGAACCAAGATAGGGTTTTTGCGTTGGTATTATTTATAATTGAATCAGAAATAATAATTAGGTAAAGGAGATTTTTGATGAAATTATTACTTTATTTTCATATCTCCAATCTAGCAGAAAGTTGATGAAATTATGAAATATTGAAATAAATACAGTTTAGCTTTCAACCGATTTTTCTGATTTTTTTTAACATCTTTTTCAAGTTTAGGTTAAATACTTCAAAATCTTATTGTTACGTTTAAAATACCAAATAATGGAATTTTTGAATTTTTTTTTTGTATATATAATATATGCGTATTTTTATCTTACACATTTTGGTAGAATCAGAAATTACTTATCGTTTTTACTTAAGTGTTAATAAATAAATTTAATAAAAAGAAAAATTCCCAGACGGGTGGGAATACGCAAACTCCTGGACTTCAAAAGGTTATAACTTTTAAATTAAGTCCGGCCGACAAATTCTGATTAAAAAATATTCAAAATCACTTGGGAGCTAAACTGCAATTATGCCACAAAATAGAAGTTATAACTTACATTTTAAGAAATAACTATTTTTTTTTTTGGGGGGGGGGGGGGGCAAAATATGTTGCCTGACAACGGGAAAAGGACAAAGCTACAAAATCGAAGACGACTCACCGGCGTTTTTCAAGGGGTTAAATATAGGCAATATACAATACATTCCGGTTCCGGAGAAATACGGCTTATATTTTTTGGATTCCGGTGATATACGGTCCGTGTAAATACGTCCCGGAATTA